ATCATGTTTTCGCTTAAACCTGGTAATATTGATTCCCTCTGACTTTAACCATTCTTGGGCTATTTGATCCCCATTCTTGGCTAGTTCCCCTTTTGTGTTCTGTATGTTGTGTCTTCGAGCAAGGTCTGACCAGTTAACAACCATGCCATCAGGATAACTTTCCACCTCTTCTTTGATCTTCTCTCTCTCAAATATTTTATTATCCAGCTTTCCAACAGGACTTCTCTTTTTTGTTGTTGTGTTTATCTCGTTTCGTTGTCTTGAAGCTTCCTTACTTTCAAATGCCATGGCAAGGCGCGATCGCTGTGCAGCTGACAAAGATTGGCGATTTCCATAATACCTAGTAAATAAGTAAATTGAACATTAATTTTATGTGGGCTAGACTGTGGGGAGGCAACTAGTAAAGTGATAATAGTTGTAATATGTTTACAGACCTAGCAGGAATTAATTTACTGGGGTTCCGGGGTGGGGGGCGGTGTTGTTCTCCACTACCCTTGGCAAAGGGGGCCTATTTCATTAATAAATTCACTTAAATTTCGGTTTAGATTTGGCAATATCCTGTCTCCATTATCACAATAATAATGCCCTTGAACTCTGCCAGAGGCAATATTTCCATGTTCTCTGGAACACTCCTGGATGTGCACCACTAACCCTAACCTGCCCCCAAGGGCCCCCTTACCCAACAGTGCTCAGATTTGGCAGGATCCATCCTTGAGCCTGACTGCATGCATTCATTTGTATCTTAGCCTTATGCAAAATAGCTTGCATATATTATATACCTTAGTTTTTCACCCTATTATTGTCAGGAATTTTGCTTTAGTACTTTTAATTGTGTTAATGATAATGCAAACTTACTAATTAAATAAAATTATAGTTTAATAAAGATACCTCATTACAGATGTATTCTTCCAGTGTTCTTCTGTTGTCTTCTTCGCCTGTCGTAATTGTTTACGCCTGTCTCTTTTTTTTTCAGCTGGATTCTTCTTGCTTTGAATGTTTAACGAGGGAATTGTTGTCGTCAGGGCTTTTTCTAATGGTACGTTAAAAACACGCTGAAACGCAGGATTGATCTCGTTGTAGATCTTTTGAGCGCCATCTTGATACTCTCGTCGTGTGCAATTGACTTTGACTGCTTTTCGACTCGTATTGGCTGCGATATTCTGAGCCACAATCACTGGATTTTCTTTGAGACATCCTTGGAATTTCTTTGATTGCACTGGAAAGAACGACTGGTAGACTGAATATCTGTGGAAACAGCCACGACAGTCCATCAAGCTATGCTCAGCCTTCCGTTCGACCGATAGTGCCTTCCAGTTATCAGCCAAGAATGCTTCAAGGTATTGCTCACGTTCTTTCTTTTTCCTTGGATTCCAAGTAGTGAATTTTTTACGCAAGTCTGGCAGTTTTCTTTCAAGCGTTTTAAAGTCAACCGAGAATTTTTTGTTGGTAAACATTAGACCGAAACGTTCATGGATGATTTGCACACTACGTACGCGATGCTGATATGGTGTTTCATTGTCGTTGCGTTTTATCTTCTCCGTAACATCTTTTGTGAAGCGCCAAATAGCAGCTTTAGCGAATCCACATGTGTGTGGATGTACAAGACTTATTATCATGATAATTATGTTGGAAACTTTGCAAATATTATTGATTGCGCAAATCGAGAAGCTACTCTACCGAAGCAAATTTTGAATCTGGCGCCTAAATACAAGTCATGCGCGCGTCATTGTGACAGGCTTATCTATAATCTGCGCTCAGATATGGATCAAATTCCTTTTTCTGGAGAGCCTTGGAATATTTTTAACCTGGGTATGCTAATGCTATTAAGTATAAATTAATATCACATCACTAATTTTATAAAGACGATCATATTGACGTTAAGTCAACTTAGTTATCTAAAAATGCTTGCCAGATTTCAAACGCGCGTCTCTTATTGAGTTATATAATGCTTTTACTAAGATACCGCATCTAACATTATCGATTTGAACGATGTTTAGAACCTAATTTTGCTGAAAATGTACAGTTTATCTGATCTGGTTATTATGGTCGCCATTTTGAGCGTCTTGCGTTGTCATGGTAATTCGTTATACCGCTGCATCAGTAAACCAAGGCTCAATCGACAAAAATGGCGGTCGCTTTGCGATGTATTTAGTTGCAAATATATATATTCATTGGCTTTGCAGGAGAGGTTTTTATTATCAACCATTAAAGGCTTAGGCGCTAATTATCTAGAAAATACGTCCAACTTCTTGAGAAATACCGTAAACCGAAAACATTTTGACTAGAAGTAGCTTTAATGATCGAAAATATGCAAGTAGAAACGCGTGTTTTGACTTTGGATCCATTTTACGCAACAATAACACAACATTTTCACTGATACAAGTTTGAATATGTTAGAAGAGTTCCTTGGCAATCTATTTGTAATTGAATGTTTCAGTGAGAACCCGCTAAATCATTCCCTGCAAAGCGGTTGAAAAAGTTCCATGTTTTCGTTGCTATTTTTAGACCAACAACTGGTCACGTGACACGTTTTTTAAAATTTTGGGTTGGTTAAAAAAATTCTAAAATTATATTGAGTAGCATTAACGCCCAAAACCCTGTCAATTCATCTTAAAATCGTTGTAAATAATTTTTCTTTTATTTTTCATGAATTAATGCTCACTGTGAAACCTGACCCAGTCATTAACGCACCTGAGTCTTCCTTATCCTTACCTTTATCTTCCTAATCCTTATCTTCTTATTTTCCTTATCTTTATCTTCTTATCTTTATCTTCTTATCTTCCTTATCCTTATCTTCTTATCTTTATCTTATTATCCTTATCTTTATCTTCCTTATCTTCCTTATCTTTATCTTCTTATCTTCCTTATTCTTATCTTTATCTTCCTTATTCTTATGTTTATCTTCCTTATCCTTATCTTTATCTTCCTTATCTTTATCTTTTTATCTTCCTTATTCTGAATAAGCTTCCCGCTATATTGATATGTTCAACACAACTTAGGCTGGGAGCCGAGCTCCCTAGCCTCGGAGCTGAGCTCTTTAGGCTCGGAGCCAGCTCCATAGGCTCGGAGCCGCTCTCCTTAGGCTTCCTTATCATTATCCTCTTATTTTCGGTTCCGAGCCTATGGAGCTGGCTCCGAGCCTAAAGAGCTAAGGAAAATAATGATAAGGAAGCCTAAGGAGCTGGCTCCGAGCCTATGGAGCTGGCGCCGAGCCTAAGGAGCTGGCTCCGAGCCTAAGGAGCTGGCTCCGAGCCTAAGGAGCTGGCTCCGAGCCTAAAGAGCTCGGCTCCTAAGTTGTGTTGAACATATCAATATAGCGGGAAGCTTATTGAGGATAAGGAAGATAAAAAGATAAAGATAAGGAAGATAAGGAAGATAAAGATAAGGATAAGGAAGATAAACATAAGAATAAGGAAGATAAAGATAAGAATAAGGAAGATAAGAAGATAAAGATAAGAAAGATAAGGAAGATAAAAATAAGGAAGATAAGGAAGATAAAGATAAGAATAATAAGATAAAGATAAGAAGATAAAGATAAGAAGATAAAGATAAAGATAAGGAAAATTAGAAGATTAGGATAAGGATTATAAAGATTAGAATAAGGAAGATAAGAAGATGAAGATAAGGAGATAAGAAGATAAGGAAAATAAAGATAAGGGTAAGGAAGATAAGACGATAAAGATAAGGAAGATAAGGAAAATAAAGAGAAGGATAATAAGATAAAGACAAGAAGATAAGGATAAGGATAAGGATAAGGATGAGGTTAAGGATAAGGATAAGCTTTAAGGATAAGGATAAGAATAATGGAGATAAGGAGATAAAGATAAGAAGATAAAGATAAGAACATAAAGATAAAGAAGATAAGAAGATAAGGTTAAGGAAGATAAAGATAAGGAAGATAAAGATAAAGATAATAAGATAAAAAAGATAAAAGATAAGAAGATAAGGATAAGGATCAGGAAGATAAGAAGATAAAGATAAGAAAAAGGAAGATAAGAAGATAAAGAAAAGGAAGATAAAGATAAGGATAATAAGATAAAGATAAGAAGATAAGGATAAGGAAAATAAGAAGATACGAAGATAAAGATAAAGATAAGGAAAATATGAAGATAAGGATAAGGAAGATAAAGATAAGGATAAGGAAGATAAGAAGATGAAAAGGAGGAGATAAGAAGATGAAGACGAGGAGATAAGAAGATAAGGAAAATAAAGATAAGGATAAGGAAGATAAGAAGATACAGATAAGGAAGATAAGGAAAATAAAGGTAAGGATAATAAAATAAAGACAAGAAGATAAGGATAAGGATAAGGAAGATAATAGATAAATATAAGAATAAAGAAGATAAGAAGATAAAGATAAGGAAGATAAGGAAGATAAAGATAATAAGATACAGATAAGAAGATAAGATAAGGAAGATAAGAAGATAAAGATATGACGAGAAAGATAAAGATAAGGAAAATAAGAAGATAAGGATAAGGAAGATAAAGATCAGGATGAGGAAGATAAAGATCAGGATAAGGAAGATAAGAAGATAAAGATGAGGAGATAAGAAGATAAGGAAAATAAAGACAAGGATAAGGAAGATAAGAAGATAATGATAAGGAAGATAAGGAAAATAAAGGTAAGGATAATAAGATAAAGATAAGGATAAGGATAAGGATAAAGATAAGGAAGATAAGAAGATAAAGATAAGAAGATAAATATAAGAAGATAAAGAAGATAAGAAGATAAAGATAAGGAAGGTAAAGATAAGGAAGATAAAGATAAAGATAAAGATAAGGATAATAAGATAAAGATAAGAAGATAAGGATAAGGAAGATAAGAAGATAAGGATAAGGAAGATAAGAAGAGAAGGATAAGGAAGATAAGAAGAGAAGGATAAGGAGGATAAAGATAATGATAAGGAAAAACCATTTATATTTTTACGGTGACATGTGGGTGTGATGTAGGGTCGATGTAGGGTCGATGTAGGGTCGATGTAGGGTCGAGTGGGGTCGATGTAGGGTCGATGAAGGGTAGATGTGGGGTCGATGTGAGGATTATGTAGGGTCGATGTAGGGTCGATGTAGGGTCGATGTAGGGTCGATGTGGGGTCGATGTGAGGTCGATGTAGGGTTGATGGTGGGTTGATGTAGAGCTAGGAGTATAGAAACCATGGCGAATGAACAATTGAGCCAAACGACTCTTATTACAAAAAAAACATTTAAATTGTTGTGCGTAATTTAAAATCAAACATATTATGCTCGAAGAAATTGACCGCATTAACTTTGTAAACGTCTCGAAGAAATAAATGTATTTTGAAAGTGAAATCTTGTGCGAACTTTTGCCTGCAACGCCACCCGTCCGATTTTAAGGTAATAAATAATCCCTATTTATCCATAATAAGCACTTAAAAGATTAAAATTTTGCTTGTAATCCATTAATGACTGTTAATGACTTTGGCAGTATACGTTTTAGAGAGCCACAAACGACGAAATTTCGATATATCTTGCATACAATCTGTAATAACTCTCTGTTCTTTAGTATTTTTCCTGTCTCAAGCTCGCTGCATGGGTGAAATAAAGAATTTGTATGTATCCACATGGGGTCGGAGGTTTAATCACTTTTTAATGACTCTGTAATATGGAAATATCGACCATAACAACGGGTTGACAACGATTTTAAGGTTACAGGACGACTTTGAAACTGAAGTCTTTAGCTACTTCCTGTGAAAATTTGAGAGAAATTGGTTAAAACCCGCAGGAGCACAACTCGTTTGAAAATTAATAATTAGGGACCGCTCATTATTTATTGTACAGGGGGGACTGAGGAGAAACTCTACAGTTATAAAAT